CATTCTTTCATTAAGTAGAGCTGGTAAGTAGATTTTGTTGTTTTAATTTGATTTTCGGCAATTTCATCTTCGGAAGTGCTGTTATTGCTTCAGATTCCAACAGAAAAATGTACTTAATAAATACTGCGAACCAGGAAATCTTTATTCCACGGCTAATTAAGATAGCTACTTAAACATTCTCATCTCTTTGAATCTTTTTTGCAGCTGCAGTAACACAATAAGAACAAAAGGTTGTAAGTTCAAACCTTGGCGGGGCTAAGCCTTGAAAAAAAGCTCAACTGTGAGACATTTGGCAAACCAGATAAGTCAGTAGAGTAATATTATCCGGGTGTTGACAAGTTGTGGAAACCTCACGGATAAACCTTGAAGTAGATTACCTGTACTGGCTTATAATACATAGATAATTTGGATTTTACTCTGATGGCATTATTTGAAACATAAATACATCAAATCAAAGTGTACTCACCAGAATAAAATCTAAGTGTGAATTTTTAAAAGCTATATGACTGCCGTCACGAGAAAAGGGCCCTTAAGGTCAAATTTTCATAAATTGACTTTTTAGTAAATTTTGATAGCCGGACTCTTTCTGAATGCAAATATACATAAATTATGAAAATATCTCATTTTTTCAGTATTTTATAAGCATTTTAGTAAGTTTACACCAAAATTACTTTGACGTTACTCACGGAAAAAGTAATGACGTCGCCTGCGTCTAATTCAATTTCCGGGGGGAAAAAATTAAAATTACGTTATTTAAATAACATAAAACGTTTTGAGGATTATAAACTTGATTGAATATTAATTTTTTTCTTCCAATCGATTAGTGAGTACTTATTCCTAAGGGATTTCGTATGTTATTACTATTTTAATTCTATTTTAGAGCATATTTAGTAATTTCATGAAGGGAATTGTTGGTATAGACTCTAGACAGAATCTAAGAACGGTTTATAATGTGTCCAGTAGGAAAAAATAATAATTTATTAAACCAACACAAATCATTTTTTTTATTCTAAATAATGTAGCTCAATTTATAAAAAATATAAAGTACTTGTAACATTTTAGAGAGAGAGAGAGAGAGAGAGATCAGAAGGACACCGCGCGCGTAGAAACGGCAATCGTTACTACTCGGCCATTTCCGTGAACGATAAATAATATTTCTCTTATGCTCTCTAGTGTAATTTAAAGCCATGTTAGCTATAACTCACGGTACCAAAAATAAAATTGGGGAAAACACGGCTAATTACGTGCATAGCTTTTCCTTTCTATTGTAACAATTAATTTTCGTGATAATTTGCCTCCAAAACCATCAAACCGGTAATAAAATGTAAGATCTGAAATACTGGCTGCCAGCCACTAATTCCAAAGTCGTTATCTCGATATTCAGTGACCCCTGGGGTCACTACTTCGGAATGCTCTAATTGCGCATGTGCCAATCTTGTAAACAATCATCACAATGTCGGGAAAGCGTGGTCCGAAAGTAAAATTGACCGATTCAGAGAGAAAAAGACGCAAAAAGGAGAGAAATGCAACCGTGAACAAGTGCAGAATTTCAATTGGGGATCAGATTGAGCAATGGGATGAACTAAAAAACCAATTAGCCATCGAGAATAATGCTGAAATGGCGAAAGTATTACTGGACTGGTAGGTTTATTTCTACGCTTTTTTTACAAAGATTATTGAATCATTTTATATTACTTTGATGATTAAGAGTAATAAATATGAAAACAAAAGAATGTTTAATTCATCAGAATATTAGAGATTACTGTTATCTTGTATATCTTGTGGTGTAAACATTTAGGTTTCGTCCTGTTCACAGGGGGGCCCCAAGAAGGGAAATTTTACGAAATATCAAAATAGTTTTTAAAAAAACCCAGATAAATTAATTTATGTACTCATTGTGAATACAAAATACTTTAAATGCATAAAATTCCATCATTTTGTAATTCTAATATTTAATTTAGATATTTTAATATTTTTAATGAAGTTATGCTGAGAAAAACTCGGGTAATCAGACAACATTGAAGACTAACGATAGAGGGAAATTTGTTCCACATGGCACTTCAACACCTGCTCCATGTAAAATTGCTAGGAGAGATTCAGAATCTGAAATTTCTTTTATGTCAACAGATGAATTTAAGAAAAGGTATGTACAATATAAAAATGAAATTTTCTTCATTGATGCACAAAAGATATTTATTTTGCAAATATGATTTTAAAAATCTTCAAATAAGAGCAATTAATATTTTTAGAGAGGAGAGTGAAATATCTGGAATTGAGGACATTGATTCTGTTGGTGCCACAAGTAGCAGTAGGAAAATTTCATGTCGTCCATTTTCAAGCAGTTTCTTGAATCCGTTTGAGTGAGTCAATTGAATGAAGCAAATGAAATTATTTTTCAATAAATTAAAATGAACTTGCATTGTATATATCATTTTTTTTTCAGTCTCACTGTGTATTCATCTGAGGTGCAAGATGACATAGATGATGCAGTGGATGATGACTATGAACCAAGTTTTCATCTTTCACTGAGGTGAGCCTGACACTATCCCAATACAGATAATTGATTAAAATATTTAAAAGAATTCAATTTTTTTTTTTGCAAAAATAATTCATGCAATGGTTTTCATTAAATGTATGACTTGCTATATCTCTAGACTGGACCATGGCATTCTGCCCAGTGAATCAGAGGATGAGGAAGATGAAGATAACATTCAAGACACTGAACAAGAAGTAGAACTTGGTCCCAACATTAAGAGACTGAGAACCAATGATGAAATTGGGACACTACTTGAGGATCATCCTGTCTTGGTCAATACTCAGCAATTAATGGAACTTGCGAGGACAACAGTGCCCACCATTTGCAAAGTTAAAGGATGTGGCGACATTGTGCAAATGAATCTGCAAACAGTATCCTCTGCAGTCTATCTTAAGTGGGTTAGTATAAAGGATGGGATTTCATTTTTTTTTTTTCAATTGTAAATAAAATTTCAAGTATTCAATTTTTATTAAAGCTTTCGTTGTAAAATTTCAAAATTATTTTTTATATGGCTGTTTTCAGGTTTGTGGGAAAGGGCATACTGCAAACAAATGGAGTTCACAGCCCCTTTTGAACAGAGGCCTGCATAGCACAGATGTTTTGATATCGGCTGCCTTAATAGCTTCCGGGAACAACTTCCAAAAAATGGCAATGTTTGCAAAGTTTCTGAAGCTTCCTTTCCCTTCACAGTCTTCCTTTTGCAAGATGCAACGGACTTATGTATTGCCAAGCATCGACCAGATATGGGAAATTCATCAAAATGAAATCATGAATGAATTTCAAGGGAAGAATCTGGTGATTTTAGGTATACAATAAGCATATTTAGTACACTTAAGTATTCATCAAACATGAATGGTATAGTAACATATTGACAAAACCGTTAATGTAACCTTAATCTTGTTATAGGGGATGGGCGCATGGATAGTCCAGGCCACTCAGCCCAGTTCTGCACCTACACATTTATGGAAAACACCACACACAAAATTCTCCATATTGTTGTCATGGATAAACGCATATGACAGGGGGGAAGAGCGCAGTACTGGAGAAAGCCTGTTTTCAGAGAGGATTACAATTTCTTCTTGACAAAGGCCTAATAATTTCAGAGATTGTTACAGATGCCCATGTTCAAGTCGAAGCACTGATGAGTAAGTTGATATCTTTTATCCATTATTGACTTACAAACTTTAGTTAAGAAATTAAATTAAAATGATAAAGCCATTTTACATGTTTGTTACAGAGAGAGAATATCCACATATCAAACATTCTTTTGATATTTGGCATGGCTGTAAAAATCTGGGAAAGAAAATTATTCAGGTAAGCAAACCATTTAATACATATACCTATGATAAAATAGAGAAAGTTCTTTTGTTTGTTTCACTGTTTAAATCATGCTTAAAATTTCTTCAAAGGCAGGGCAAGAGAAATCAAAGCGCCCCTTACTACAGTGGACAAGAGAAATTGTCAACCACTTTTGGTTTTGTGCAGACACAGCAGAGACAGAGGATGAATTTATTGTAAGTATGGATTGAAAATTACAAGAGATAAATTTTAATCCAAATAAGCATTTTAAATTTGAATTTTGCAGTGGAGATTTTTTTTTATTTGTAGGGTATGTGGTTGGGTGTTATTCACCATGTTGTTAATCAACATGAGTGGATATTACCATATCGAATTGGTTCCAAAAGTTCCTGCATGCATGGACCACTGACAGAAGAACGCGAAAAGGGGTGGTTAGAGGCTGGATCACCAGCCCATGTTGCTGTAAGGGACATTGCTAAAGATAAAAGACTCCTGAAAAAAATCCCTTATTATTTGAATTGCAGGTTTGTTTGCTTTTAACTTTTATATTTGTTTGTGTGCCTTACAAATTGCATACCTATTATCTTTTAAAAACGTTATTGTTTTTACATAGGAGTACAGCTGTCTTAGAGAATTTTCAGAATCTTATTCTGAAATATTCCTCTAAAAGACATTCTTACACACCACCAGTGTACAAGGGAAGAAACATAATAGCAGCTCTAGATCACAACTGTAACTGTAACAGAGATACCTTAAAGAATAAAGATGGATCCTTGAGGTATTTATCTCCATTTATTGTTATAACTGTGTGTTATCATAGCAATTATTTATAACATTACAAAGTGAAAGGTTTTCTATAAATATAATTGTTTTAATAAAATATTGTAGACACCAGAGGTACTACAGTAAGAAGAGTGGGAGATGGGCAACTTATGAGGTGAAAAAGTCCAAAAGCTACCCATATACAGAGGACCTCATGAGAAAATGCCTGGAGAATAGACTGTTGGATGGGATTGGTATGAATAGACCAGTTATTCTCGAGGCTGATGACCCTAGGAGAATCTCTTCAGTTCTGGCACCAATACCACCACCACCAACATCTCAGCTTGTAGCAGAAAAAAAATCCAGGTTCAGTGAGAAAACTGGTGATTAGCATCTTTTCCTCCTAGTCCATTACACCTTCCAGATACCCAACATACTGTCCCGATGGTTCTGGGAAAGTGTCTCTGATCCGCCATACACAACAGCTAGGGATGACTTTTCTGTTGCCTGCCCCAAGTTTGCCATGGACCCACATGATGAACTGTCTGTAGGCAGCATACCTCCGAGATCTGTTGATGTTGTCATCTCTCGGCTCAGCCAGTACATCATTGTAGTACCGCATGGCAACTTCAAGAACAAGTTCATCAAGAACCACTGTGTAGAAATCCTGAAAATATACATAGATCTATGTTAACATACAATTTGCTTTGATTTTTGAATTTCCCTGCCAGGTTCAAATGCAGTATAATTCTTTAAAAAATGTATGCTTACTGGTAGCCTTGACTGACAATTCTGCTTTGTTTTGCCACAGCACACTTTTTCTCTGTCAGTGGGCATCTCCCTGCAGTAAGTGCAGATGCACCAGCTTGGTGCAGTCCTGCTCTCAGAGCCTGGTTGTTCTGGTCCACCACCCTCAAGCGTTTCCATTATGTCAAGCATAAATGAGGGTTGCTTTGAACAAACAAGTCTCAGGACTGTTCTTAATCCCTCAGTGTCCATTGATGAAATGCATTCCCACAATATTTTATTATATATTTAGTAGTTTTGTATATATGAATTATATGTATTTATATATTTATTTATAATGATATAAATATTGAAATAAAGTTTAAATATTACTTCTATATGTGTTTGCCTCTCCTGTCTGGCTCTGATTGCTAATTGTTGCCTATTTGGCCCCTGGTGTGCATGCCCACCACGCCTCCCTCTCCTGACACCAACACGTCCACGCCCTCTATTTCGACCTCTTAGTGCCTGTTACAATTTTTAATAAAGTAACTAATAATTCTTCAATAATATGTAATATGCTAAGTTAAAATTAAAATTTCAATGGTTACAACACTCTGTAAGGTAAATATACATACAGCTGTAAGACCCCGTCTTGATCTACTAGTATTTCCTCTTCCTCTTATATTTGGCTCTGGCAAGTACTCTGACGATGAACTATTAAATTCAACATCACTTCTAGATCTATTTGAGTCCTTTAAAAAAGAAATAGAGTAACTATAATATTTTCTGCAAATTCACAATATCAAAACATTATTTAATATCCTTTATGTATTTTTAAAATTCCCTAACAGGTAAAATGTGTCATATCTGTATAAAGGCATCCTTTACATATCCATATTTTATGGGTTAAAATCATTAAAATGGTAAACATTCCCAAAATACGATTTTTTCTAGCTATTCATATGGATTACAAAAAACCCTCTTTGGTGCCTCATTATATGTAAATGAAGCAGTTTGCAAGATTCTGACGAGTTCTTATTTTCAGAATGTTTAATACTAAATTTTCATTTATATTTACAGTATATTACATTGTTTTAGCTTGAAAGTTATTCAGCTAACTCAAAAATATTGCAAACAAAGACAAAGCAGCCTTCTTACCTCAGATTCCATCTTCGTCTGACCTCGTTATCAGCATCCCGCTTACACTCGGGAATAATCGGCTCATGTGTCCGAAAGATAATGAAGGCAATGGCCAGTTCAAAAACGTGCACAGCAGGAATGCAATTAACAGCTTTCTTTTGTTTATCATGTTGCATTTTCTTTCCAGAATCTTAGTATTATCTTAGTTTAACAAGTAGGTGAATGTTTCAGAACAGATTAGCATGCAAAATTTTACCGTCAGTTATAGCTAACATGGCTTTAATTAATTTTATAAGTTCACTGAAGTTAGTTTTTTGCACACACCTATAATCTTATGTAGACCATATCACTTCCATATTAAAGTAACACAAACACAAAGTTTGATGGATGTATTTGTCATTTACTCTTTCTCGGAAAATGGCCGAGTAGTTACGAATGGCAAAAACGGGATATCCCCATTTGTACGGAAATGGCCGATTAGTTACGTTTTGGGACATCCCCTCGCAAAAAAGCACATCCATCCCGAATTTTTTTAAAAGTATAATTTTCGGTTATGAGTCAGCATTCACTCACAAACACACACGCACATAACTTAATTCTCGACTTTAACTGTTACGATAGGATATAAAAAAAAACTGTATTCTCTGTATCGCCAAAAAAATAAAATGAGAAATAAATTCTGATACGCCAAGATACGTAAACTTGTTTTCAAAAAAGTTTCATGTAAACTTGTTTTTAAAAACGTTTATTCCTTTATAACAATTCTCAATTAAAAGAAATATGTTCTCTACTTGCATGAAGCGTATTTTACATTTTGAATATTTTCAAATGTTTAAAGCAACTTTCCATTGTTTATATAATTCATTTTCCTCACCTGTTTTAGTTATGAAGTAGGAACATAATAAAGAGGCAAATAGTAATCACGTGAAAGGATTGTCTTATGAATGGTTTATAAACTGTACCTAAAATTGAATCTTTCTTTTAACCTCTTACTTAGTAAATCACAATTAAAATCGGTTAGAAATATTTCTTTACATTTCACTTTCTTCATTTGATTTTCCGTGCTCTGTTTCACTTGAACAGAACACATGTATAAAAGATGTATTTTGTATTATGTCACCAAAGAGATGGTTATCTGTACTGTTCTTGTCTTCTTTTTTTCAATATATATATATGCACACTAAACGATACTCAACGTTTTTGTGCAAAATTAGATTACCATTTCAAGTTTGACGAAATCGATTTGAAACTAAAACTGAATGAATATATTTTTTACATATTTTTTTTGGGGGGGGGGGGGGGGGTGTCTACGGCCATGAAAGGTCATCTATTCATCTTCCTCCGTGACATCGGCTAACCTGACACCTGGGGTTTCACACTTCAATGCGATTGTATTAACCAATAATGAAATATTACGTCCAACACACGCTTATGGTTTTTGTACGAGGCGATGTGGTTAAGTATTAATCTACCGCTCTAATATTACACCTTTCTCCTAAATATTTAGACAAATTATTTCTTCTTAGATATTATTTCAAAACATACTACTTTCCCGATATTTCGAAATTGAATAAAAAACACCACGTGATTTTTTTTTCCGCCTAGCTGTCCCCACACAGCGAGGGAAGGGACAAGTCAGAAAAAAAAATCAATTTCCCTTTAAAATCATCACTAAAAATGGGGGTGGGGCTGTCTAAACTCAAAAATTCCAGGGGGGGGGGGGGTTAGGTTCAGACTCTTTATTGTCTTGTCCTGTAGTGCGCGAACTTGAGTATTCTGCAGCAAAAGAGGGGGGGGGGGGCAACTGGACTTTCCATGTATCCCCTACCCCTGCTACTTGCGTGCGACTACATAATAGACAATATTTTTCTTTAACCGCAAGAATATTTGCGTTTGTTTATTAATTCCTTTCCTTAAAGCCATATTAAGATTGTGAAATAGACTTAAGTATTTTGATTACAACGGAAGAAATTGATCTCGAGATATGCGGGGTATTTAGATACATGTATCAGAGTTTAGACTCAGCGTCCAAGATTTCATTAAAATGTGCTTAAATTTCATATCATATTTACAATAGTCAGTAAAATATTTTTTACATTCATGAAAGTTTTACACAAACCTCTTTTTTTCCGCATTTAACATCACCAGTGCTTACATTTATTTTTTTCATCTTTCTAAAATTTAGAATTCTTTAATTTGTTGTCTACATTTGATGTTAATGTGTTTCATGATTTAAACGTTTTCACAACTTTTGGAAATTACACCCAGAATCACTTGTTTTTCGCTTAATCTATATTGTTTTATTTTTCTTCTGGTTTAGAAATATTCTAATTCATAATATCACTGTCGATGTAAAATTGTTAATTTCTTTAACATTGGGTATACTTGCTTTTGGGAAAAGTCTTCGATAGCTGTATTTAATTCTGAAATATATTGCAGTTCAGTTGAGTTCAGTTCCGAGTGGGATTCCATTTATCGGAACAATTTAAGAAAATTGAAACAATAACAACTTTTACCATACATTTATTTTGCATGTATTTACATTTATTTGATTATTTCAAATTAATTTTTGAAACAAAATTTATTTTTAGCAAAGATTTTATGGCATCCCAATTTTCCCTCCGTATTTTTTCTCTATCCTTAGCATATAAGCATATCGTTAGCATATTCTCTCGCTTTTAATTTAGTATAGAATTATTTATTGCTGTTGTAGAAGGTTTTAATGTCTCATGTTACAAATATCTATATCCAATCAAAGAGGAGTTATGCTTTTAGCTTGAAAATTAAACGGTTGTCTTTTTACCGGTATTGGGGGATTTTTTTTTTGGCCTGGCTACTCATCCCCCCCCCCCCCTTATAGATGAAAATCGACAGTTCATGTGGTCTGGCAATCGGGGTAAATTAGTACGATTAACTATGGATTAAAATTAAAATGACTTAACATTTTAAATTATGGTACCCCGGTTTAAATTTTACAGCAAAAAGTTGCGTTTATAAAGAAGGGTAATATTATGTGTGTAAGATCTCTCGCTTGCTCTCTCTGAAAAGAAATATACATGTGCAAAATGGAATATACCTTTTTTTATATTAAAACTTCTGAACATGAATCAGATTTAAGCATGTATATGTAAATTGCTCAAAAAACAAATATGCAGCATCTTTAATTTAGTCAGGCATAGACATTGTTTTTATCGCTGTTCCTAGCAATGTGCATGTCCAATGTCGCGTACATCAACATCAAGTTACACACTCAATTAAATAGATTATTATCAAACAGTGAATTTACCTACTAAATAGTAATAATTTTATGATAATATTATATATTTTAAAAATGTCCGTATCAAACACACATAGAATTTTTATAACACTTTGAAATCCAGTTTTATTTCTTGTGTACGAAACGTAGTCGACAACATTTACTTCCGTGTTTACAATACCGCGACTTTGACGTCGTTTTCTGAGCATTGTGACGTCAAAAGATAAGGGCCCTTTTCTCATGACGGCAGTCATATAACTCTGCATTTTTTTTATGTGGATCTATATATGTGTTAATGTGGTACTTGTGCTAAATTCGTACCTCTTATACCATACAGAGGTATTTTAAGAGAATAAATGAACTTATAATTCATAAATCTTGTTCAGTACAAAACCACCTAATTTTAAAAATGCATCAATAATCGCTCTTCAACGAATTAATGTTTTTAAAATAACTCATCGAGTACTATTTTATTATAGAATTAACACCGATGGCACCTTTTTAACACTATCCAAATTTCACTGAAACTAGGGTTGTTTGTTTGTTTATGTTTTCCTAAAATCAAATGGCATACATGTATCAGATAACTGAAACTAGAGTTAAAGTAGATGTTTATTATGAATTCTGTGTGCCTGCTGTAATAAATATTTATAATGGAATAGTTCTCGATGAGTTATTTTAAAAATATTAATTCATTGTAGAGCGACACATTCTCAAATATTCTCGATACACAACATGCAATAAAATAACCCATTATCTTTAATTTAGATTATCAGAGCTAAGGAAGAGGTAAACATAGTACTGGAGTTAAACCTATTGTTACACCTCTATCACAAATACTGTCAGGTTCTGTACATCATTTCTTGTCGATCTTGCTATGATACTGTTTTTAAATCAAATGATGGGTTTTAATCAGGAGCAGAGCTAACACGGGTCTTTTAAACATCAGACGTGGCATCGACCACCATAGAGGATTAAGCATCCCATGCCGACCGGTCACACCCACCTTGTGCTCCTTGTCATGATCGGGAAATAACGGGAAAGGAAGTCAATTCAGGAGTTAATAATGCCTGACAGTTAGTACGAAAAATGTCAGTCAGCATTTTACTTTAAAAAGGTTGTATTTGTTGACAGGGTTATTGTATCGACCATAAATTTTCCGAAATTATGACATTAAACGAGACAGTTGATAATCTTAGTTTCTATCATCAACCTGTTTGTCAGTAACTTACCTGGTTTTCAAATATGAATAACATTTTTTCGAATATGGATAACAAAAAATTGCATTTATATCATAATTCTCATCAGATAAATAAAACAAATCCATAATGTATAATAAAGCAGTTATAATTTAACACTCCATAGAAATATACAACTTTGAAAAAGCATTCAATTTGAATCACGTTAATTATTGTCTATACCAATAAGGGGTTTACCTCAGCCTAAATGTTTAAGATATTTGATACAATGAAACTACCTGAATCGAAAATGTTTGTAAATCAGAAAAAAGCTGTCAATTCTTATCAAAATCTTTTCGCGGTTTTCGTAAAAAAAAACAAAACAAAAACAAACATGTTATTAGACAACACTGAGCAACTGTGGTTTTAACTTGTTACCACATTACGTCATTCGAAAATTGCAGTTGCAAATACATAAAAACATAGATAATTTTTCAATTTTTATTTCATCTCTATTAACTAGGTTTTCCTACTTTGAAGTATTTTTCCTTAGAATTTTTTTACACATGAATGAAAAACCGCAATACCTGGTTTTATCACGTTACAAAAAATATGATCACAGGAAAATAATCATGTTATAATTTTTTATTTGTGTGCACCTAGTAAATTTGAATTTGAACTTCTTGAGATTGCATTGAATTAGCAAAGAACATTGAATACGAATCCTTTAATGTACTTAAAGTTCTCAACACCTGTAAGGAATATGTTTCAGTGCACAGTGGCCGGAGACGGATGCTCCAGTAAGATGATCCTTAGTTTCTGGGTTCGAATCCTCTGTGTAGCAAGGAAG